GGGAGGTGAATGGCAACGGTGTCAGAAGGAAACACAAAGACATGGCATTAAAAAAAGACTCGTTCAAGTGTGTAACATTGAGAAGGATCTATTGGCAGAAATGGAATATAATATTCATAGGTATGTTTTCATTTGTGTGTAATCACATGAAAATAAGGTTGAAAGGAAATAACCCTTTACCTGTACAGACAGCGCAGGTTGCCCTCCATGGAGTCTGCCGTGTTTCTACAGTAGCTCAGAACAAACAAACCAAACACTGGCTCTAGAAAGGGGGATTAGCATTTTTTGTGCGTTCCCTGGACACTGTAGTTTCTCCTTCGTGCTTGGAAGGGAGCAAGGGAGCTTCATGCTACTAAAGCCTACACACTGGACATTTAAGCTTTCACAATTTTAACACACAGATGTGTGATTATACCTGTAAAGCAATCAGTTTAACAAAAAAGACATGCTAGCACTATTCGTAGCATGTCTGAGCATAATTCATGTTATTCATCTCGGGATGCAGCAATCACTTTTTCACTCCTGATTCTGATACATCTACAAATACTGATCTGACACCAGTGCTTTCTTGTTCCACATTTAATCTGTATATAATGTAATGTAATGATACTGACAAAGAAACTGTATTTAATGTGGACGGTTCACATAAACCAGATTTCTGAACTGCTCAATAAATCAGTATTGGCACTCAGCACTCCTGATCTACAGGATCAGATGGTGCATCCCTATATTCATCCATTAATTTGTTTTCTGACTTGTTTCTCAGGCAAGGTTAGTCATAATTCATATTGGATGCAAGCAACTAATCAAAAGTGTCAAGCCAAGCACATTTTGGTGTGCATTTTAGGTACAATAGGTAGACATTCCTTTAGGCTGTGCCAGAAAACTTTTATTAAAACTTTTTTCCAACCTTATTGTCTTCTTCACTCCTTGCAATTACTTTTTATTCACTACATGGACTTCCACACTTCCTTTTTCTACTCCATTAATGAAAGAATGACTGATCAACCAAATTTTAGTTGTGCAATAAACACCCCAAGACTCCCTATGAACATAATGCATAATGAGAGAGAAACAGAGGCAAAGAGAGCAAGAGAAAAACATATTACTGGTGTACAACAGAGAGAAGGAGACACATCCGGAGAATTAATGTACAAATGAAAAGGAGGGAGCGTTGGAGGAGAGAAATAGAGGGATAGTCTTTCTTTGTTTATCTCCAGTGAGGAACAGGCGGCCACATCCATTGTGCTGTGATAAGATGGGTTATCAGCAGTAAACAAGGCCTGGGCCTGTATGAATGGAGCCCGGAGTGACTGAATACACTCTTAAAAACAGATATGTTCAAATAAGTCTGCATGTCTTATCCTTTCCTAAACACAAGCCCATGTTTTCAGTTAGCAGCGCTCAACAGATGCATATAGGATTCTCGTGGTCATAGCTCTCCCTGAAAACTGCCTTCAAACATATTCACTACAGCTGGAGGAAACAGGCAGCTGAAAGTATACTTCAAACGAATTAGGTCGTACAACGGGTTGTCAGACCACATATGAAGACAAAAGTATCTATGGCTGTTGTGAACAGCCAAGACAAGATGAGTCAAACATATTGGGAGAATGGCGCCCTTCACCACGCTACTCTACAGCATGGGAAGCTCATTAAATCTGCTGGTCTTCTCATTTGAACTGAGTATTGTCATAGAGTTAGAAAAGAAGGACTACCGACAGACATGGCCTCAATGTATGACCCAACGGAGGCAGATGAGGGGGGTTTGTGTCCAGAAAGTCTACAGGCGAGCCAATCCCCGGTCTCGTGTTATCTACAACCCGACCTGAGCAGAGACCATGGATGGAATGATCCGAGCCATGCCAGAGCTGCAACAATTAGTCAATTAATCAATTAGTTGTCAACTATTAAAGTAATTGGCAACTATTTTGATAATCAATCATTTGTTTTAAGTCATTTTTAAGAAGAAATGTCCAAGATATCATCTTCTCAAATGTGAATATTTTGTGGTTTTTTCAGTCCCCTATGACAGTAAACTGAATCTCTTTGGTTTGTGGACGAAACAAGACATTTGAGGATGTCATCTTGGGCTTTGGGAAACTGTGATCAACGGATGTTAAACAGCTACCCTTGGCACAGACTTGTGAGGGATTAGACAGAGCGGCACCATCCTCTGCTGGTTCCCTGTATCACACAGCTAATGTTTAGTGCGGGGAAACCAGAATCACCATCATCAACTCATTTCCTCTAGGATGTCAGCAACATGCCAGAAGCATGGATCAGAATTGTGTGCTCCTTTAGGCCCAGCCATCACTTAGAGCTATGTCTCAGATCAGCCACTAGATGGTGTCATTTAAGGAAATCTCCTGTCATATTGAAAAGTAAAGAACCATTGCTCTATCTCTCTATTTCTTCAGACTACAAGCCTGGAGCTTGCCCAATTAGCACGGCCATCAACAGTTTTATTCGCATGCTATATGTTAGCTTTGTGAAATAGCACTAGAGATAGCACCAAACATTCAGTCAGCCACAGAAAAAAATGACCTTGTGCATTTCTATTTTCAATACTCTTCCAGCTTCATGTAGATGCTTCTTCACTCAACCCTCCCTCTGTCTTATTCTCTCATTCAATAAACACGCCTCTCTATCTGTCTCTATAGCAATCCTCTTCACTCTCTCTGGCTCCCCCCGTTATGGGAGACTATATTGAGAGGCCCGTTGAGAGAGAAACCAATCGTGTGGTGTGTCAGCGGCCCGATAGAGAAGGACCCAGTAATGGAAGGCCTTTTAAGGCTAAAAAGGAAAAGCTAATTATGATAAAGGGGCTGTAAGTTGTGTGGTTATCGCAGCGCTGGGCCTGCTGGTGCAGCAGACTGGTCCCTGACAGTGATAACCAGGCAGAGCGAGACGCCCGGCGCTCTGTCACTGTCACTCTGCCGCTCTGTTCAGCTAAAGATGGATTCACATGCTACAACTTTTATGCCTCTTTTTTTTTTTTTTTCAAACACATACAGCAGTTGGCATTCATTGGTCCTTTGAAACCTGAAACTGCAGGCTGCTGCTCATTGGATTTTTCTTCTTCTTTTCTATCTCTCAGCACTGCAAGTATGCAGCAAGTAGCCCGTCTGTAAAACACAGACACCTCAGCGGCAATTAAACCCCCTCAAATAAGCAATTAGTTTGAGTAAAAGGCTTTCCAGCTTTATGACAAGACTGGTCTGCTTAGTTTGTGCCTCCATTTTGGGCCAGTTCGAGCAACAGCAGCATGACGATGCTAAGCTAGATATAGAGGCAGCCAGATAGACATATCAGCTGTCAAGCCATGGGGCACATTAGTGGTAGTGAAGTGAATGAATGGGTACATCCTCCCCCTTGCTCCCCAATTTCTTCTCTCTGTCTCTGATGCATTATGCATTATGGCTGTGCCTTGCTATCTCACCTCTCCCAAATGTCTTTACTATTAATATTTCCATCCTGCCTCTCTCTGTCTCTATTACGATACTTCCCTCTGGGAGCCCATGGAAATGCAGTGACGGACAGAGACATTTAAAGAACAGGAAGAGGACACTTGCATATGAATACAATTATTGGCTGTTTCGATGAGTCATAAGAAGGGTCAGATCAATTTGCAATGGGATTTGGTAACGGAAGTTGCTAACACTGTGGCTTTCACTTAGGTAGAAAGCAAACAACAAAGAATTATTTATTTTGAATCAATGTCAGCCAGAACACTTCTTATTGCTTTATTTAACATGTCATGTTGCTGCTCAGTAATTAGTCTTAAGTGGACTTCAAAGGGAGCTGGACTGTCATCTTCTAGTTTCCACAATTTAGAGACTGACTGGTTCCACTCCAGCAGCGAGCAGCATGGCCGAGTGGTGACAAACACCTGTAGCTGCAGTTCTTTCCGTGGCCACTAGGTGGTGTACCTAGGGTCACACAGGGAACTAGAATTCTCATTCAATATAATCTTTTCTCAGAAACACATTTAAAGGTGAGACTGAAAAATTAAAATTTATACAACTTACATTTTAAGACCAATTAAAATCATATTTAGGATATTTAAGGCCTAAAATTCTGAATATTGGATTTAAGACCTTACAGACACCCTGATTGATTGATTGTTCCTTGTCTTCTTAGTGATATTTTATATCTGTGTGTTGTTTTTGACCTGCTATGAACATTTTTAAACCTGTGCAATGTGGGTTTGTGATGTATTATGGGTAATATTTGAGGCACATCTATGGGGCAGACACAGACTATTTCTTCAGCGACACACACCTAAGTCTGTTTGATTCCTCTGAACCTCACAAAGTTCCAATTTGGACTTAAATTGTCCTTCTGTTACCAATGTAATAAAGATACATTTAAAATAATCATTTTGTAAAAGGAGCAGATGACAATAGTACAATAGACGATTTTTGAGGCACAGAAATCACAAGATGCTGGAGAAGAAGAAATTTCTGCTTATATAGAACTTAATTGAAAAAAAATAAATAAATTTGATAGAGAGGGACCTAGTTATCAACACATAACTCCTCTATAGCTGATCTTTCTAACTAAAATCAGTCCTCAGTAAATGGAACATCTGCAACGTTGTGTAGTGATGCTGTTGCCCTGGTCGATTTGCAGTGGGATGCTGCCATCTGCTGGCCATGCTCTACACTAGCATGTGCTCTCGTAAAGGTGTATATCTTCCCAGAACATCAACCATGAGTGACATCCCTCCATAACTGACTACAGGATGTGTCTATTACAAGGATTGAGCTAACCCTAAATCTGTTGTTTTTACCTAATAGTAAATCTAGCGTTACATATTTCATTTCTGAGGTGCTGCTGTAGACATGACGTTCAAAAGATAACATGTTCACACATTTTTCCGCTTTCTAAAAGAACATGAGTGGGAATATTGTCCTCCATCTGTCATGTGTTAGTGACTTGATGTAGCTTGAATCAGCTCGACTATGAGTTAGAATGTAATACTGTATGTAACTCACCACTCTGCGCATCCTGGTCTTATAATCAATGTGAAGCTCTTTGTGTTTCTCCAGGGCAGCTTCTAAAGACTTCTTCAGATCCAGTGCTCTTCTCAACAGCTGCTCCTCAGCACCTGACTTGGTGAAGACCTACACACACACACACACAAAGACAGACAGGGAAGAAAAGAAAACCTGTTAATGAGATGGTTGGACAGACTTGATATAACTGAATTATGGTTGTAAAGTTGAAACAGCAGTAGTAGCACCAATAGTACTAGCAGTAGCAGTGCATTAGCAGTAGCACCTAGCAGGTAGTCCTCTCATTGTGTATTGTCATTTCTACCCACATGCTTTAATGTGATAGTTGATTACATGTCTGCATATCTGAACCATGTGTGTTTGTACCAACCTGAACCCAGCCCTGCACAGCAGGTAGGTGTTTGGTTTTTATCAGTTTGTGGAGGTCTATCACCGTGGAAACCACCGCCTCATTGTCCTCAGTCTCCTTAACATGAAGACCTGTAAGAATGAGAAGGAAAAGAGAAATTATTCCAGAATACATATCATTTCTACACTGATGCCACTTCATCAGCTAAGCTTGCATACTTGCGTTATTCAAAAATAATGATCACACGTCTGGTTCAATCTAATACGCTTCAATGAACCAAGCGGGAAAAAAACCTTCAATACCTTACATGGAAAAATATAAAGGGGTTTTTATCAATCTCAAATATTATTATTTTTTGTTTGCATTTATTAGCAGTAGACAGTAAAAACCTGACAATGAAATGACAGGAGAGGATGACCTGGCCAGACAGGCTCACTCTTCAGTCACCAGTACGCCATTCAAAAGATTAAAAGGTTATATGTGAGATTTGAAACATTAAAGCAGCAGACAATAGTTTGCTCTGTAAAGGTATAGTGGAGTCATGGTGTCCTTTGAATGACGTCACACTCCCTCTGCCTGTGGGGCTCTCTGTGCTTTGTCTACAGAGTGGGTCTGGTCATGTTCCCATGTCAGTGCATTGAGTCCCTCTGTATACAGCTGAGTAGAGCAACTGAAACTGCTGTTTTCCTCATAAGTGTCAGTGAATTAAGGATTTATTTCAACCAAACCAGAATTTGTGATTGTTGGAACAGTGCAAAGACTAACAAAGACCGTTCTGGTGAGTATTATTTCGTTTGTGTTCACTTTGAATGAAATTAAGATAAGACAATGATATGCAAGGTATGGAGTCTGGTTGCAAGTGATAGCACTATTATGGCAGTAAGGATCCTTTCCATAACGTTGTCAGACACTAACAATCTGAGCCTGTCAGTGGTAAAAACAACAACTTTTAGTGGATGTACTTTGACAGGCTAATTAACTAGCCATAGCATCCCATTTTGTGACCTGTCCTCATCTAACTCTGTGATTTATTTCAAACAAACCAACATGAAAATTGTGGAAAGACTAACAAATAAGGTTTTGGTGAGTTTAATTTAGTTTCTGTCCAGTTTGAACTGGAGTTTTTTTACTTGAGTATTTAAGAGTATGAGTCTGTACTTGACAGTTTCTGACACTTGGTGCTACACAAACCAAACGAGTACTGAGGTTTGATACCTTGTAGGAGCCAATCATTTATCATTGATGTAGTAACGGCCAATAAAGTACCATTTTTTCCATTCTTGATGTCATAAAAGTTGATAACGTAATAACTGAACAATAATGTTATAAAATGTATGAACCAATATAATAACCCCTAATGCAATGTAAAGTTATAACATTATTGACTTATTATTAGCTGGGTAAAATAAAATTAAAAATGTAATAACTTGGGCTGATAATTGAGAAGGGAAAGATTATGACCTCATGTATAACTGGTTTAGTAGAGCATTTACATATACATTGAGCTGCCAGTTTAATCAACCCCACCAGGACACCATCAACAAATGTGATCACTATGAGTTCACAAAGGTCGGATGTGTTGCATTACAGTAGCATTACAGTGTGAGGGTGCACAGAGCTGTACCCACCAGGACTGAGGTTCAGGTCCAGACTGTAGGCGTGAGAGATGAGCCCAGAGTTCCGAATAAACAAGTCTTTATCAAGATGCTTCTTCTCCTCCTCCTCCTCCTCCTCCTCCTCCTCTTCACTACTTCCCTCCTGATCTTCCTCATTTTCTTCTTCTTCCTGTCCCTTTACCTCCTCCTGCTCATGCCCATCGCTCCTCTCTTTATCCCCCCTCTCCTCATCATCAGACCTCTCCTTCCCCTCTTCTTCCCCTCCATCGTTTTTCTTTTCTTCCTTGCTCTCCTCCTTCTTTTCTATCATTCTTTCACTCCCGTCATCCTTCAGGTCTTTGCTGCAGCAGGGCTGTTCGTGGACTGGTGGACAATCATGGGCTGTTTGGGAGATTGGGGGGCTGCTATTGGTTGTCTGGATGCCTGTAAGGTCAAACTCGGGGAGAAGCAGCCTCATACAGGTTTCCATCTCTGTCAGTGTTGCCTCAATGTCTGGGTAGGACTCTGACAAAGAAATAATACGTAATACTTAATAAACTCTAGCAGCAGGTTTTGGTGTCACTGTTCTTTTTGTAGTTAAAATTTTACATTAAACATATTCTAGCAATCTATGCTAATTTGTTTAAATTTACAGAACATTAGAATGATAACATAGAAGTCCAGTTCTTGGCAATAAAAAATCAACTGTTATTATTATTATCCCTAGCAGTGGTGTTGTTGAGTGATGAGGTGTTTACCCTCCATGTCTGTGGAGGCTGCCTCCACTCTCTCCTTGTAGATCCTCTCCATCTTCCTCTGTCTCTCCTCATCCCTCCTCCTCTCTGCTACCGTCCTGGCCTCAGCATCCTGGAAGTCCACCTGACGACATGGACACATCACACCACTTACAGAAGGATCACAACACAGTCCAAGTAGACAGCCATAGTAACAGGGAAACAGAGCAGGTTTATATAATCTAGCCTCCATTAGGTCAATACTTTGGTTTATGACCAAATACCTCAGCCAAATACCTTTATCCTCAGCTAACATCAAGCTATTGGACAGTCTGTTATTCAACAACAAAAAACTAAATGTGCTGGTTTTGTATCTCTCTCACCTTCTTAACCTGTTTGAGAAAGTGGTAGCCCAGAGCTAACTTCTTATACGCCGTCCCATAAGAGGCCTGCCATGATTGGACAGCCCGGATGGCCAGTGACCTCAGTTTCCGGGCTACTTCTTTAGGAGGGGGCAGTGGCTGCTCCGAGTCAGTCTCAACTGTCAACTCCAAGAACTCCTGCAGGAGCAGGAGGTTTGAAAGAGAGATGAGGGGAAAAATGAGGAGAATCAGAAGAGTAGGGGATGGGAATGTGACATACTTGAAGATATATTTGCAGACAGAAAAATGACAGTGTTTAGGTTTTTAAATAAAGATTCTAAAATGAGGTGCTGCAGTGTTTGGTGTAAAAGAAATACCTGAGATGATCTATTGGTCTATATGAGGCCTGTACCTGGAAGTTGTCCACCAGCAGGGTTCTAAAGTGATGTGATCTGGAGAAGAGCTCACTGGCTATCTGTAAGGCAGACAGTCGGATCTCTGCATGTTCCTGGTTGAGCTGGGACATCACTGAGTGGTACACGTGGTCTATGCAGTCATTAGACCCTCTGGGAGGAATGACAGTCACAGAGTGAAGAGTTATTGTATGATATATTTGATATATAATAATAGAACTATTTACCTTATCCGTATTCTTATCATCCTGTGAATTCTAACTTACTCTTACATATTAGCCAACAAATTCATAATTATTTAAATGGCTGCACAGTCAACCTGCTGCTTTGCTGTGTCAGTAATCCGTCTTCTTTCTGAGAGGATGAACTAGTATGTGAAATCATCTGCACCCTCACATACTCTCAGCCCTCCATGGTGCACAGCTACTCATGCCTGTATGAGAATGAGAATCTCTCTGGGTAGGGATGAGCCCTTCAGTGAGTGACATACTTGCAGATTTTTTTGATTTCCTTCATCTTGTCCTGGTTGAGCTGTGGCTGTCCTGATGTGGTCAGCTCCTCCACCAGCTCCGACAGCCTGTCCCTCTGAGACAACTCCATCACTGTTCATGAACACGCCTGCGAACAGGGACAGAACACTGACTTCACCATACAACAAGACTGAAAAACACTGTTGTAAATCCTGGTGAAACCACAATCAGCTACACAAGTAATGGCCATTCTAATACTCGAAGAAAGACAGACAAAATTAGATAGTTATATGATAATTCAAGAGACTGAAAACATCATCAAAATAGGCAATGATTATTTTGTGAATCAACTGAAAACCTCTAAAAACATTTTAAAATTGTATACTATATCAAGATCTTTAGTGGTTACTGAAGGCTGTCTTGTATTAAACCCTATACTTTATCACTGTATTACTATGGTGTTATAGAGGGTGTCCTCCACTGTACAATCAGACAGTTAATGTTGATGCTTAAAATATAACTACATTAATCCTATATGCTATTTCTTGGTAATATGGAAATGTTTTATTATATTATATTTATTACATTAGACTCTAATGATACTATGTGCAAGGGACTGGAGGCTACACATCCACCCTTTCTAAAAGTACTATACTCTTGTACCAGCAACATCACATTTAATGTTTTTTTACATTTTACTAAACACGTTTTATAGAATTTAATAGAAAAACACAGAGGATTATTCTGTAAGTCTTATCTAGAGTCAAAGTCAAGTCAGTAAAGTCCAGGTTGCGTTGTAAATTAATGAAAAGGCTAGCTAGCACCCTGCTAGCTGCCCCAGTGCTAACCAATGTAAACACAGCCTGTCTCTTTAAGCACTCACCAGCTGTTCGCCTGCTTTATAAAACATTCAAACTCAGTCACTCTTCTGACTGTCAGCTCCCAGTGACCGAAGCAACTCGTAGTCCATTCATGACTTACGCTAATAAATTAACCGCCGCGGTTTTGTCCCGTTCACACATTAACATCCTTCTGCAGCTCTATAGCACCAGCTGCTCCTTCAATAACACACACACTTCCGTTTGCTGCTTGTACTACCGGTTCGAATTTTCAGAATAAAAGCCCCGCACACTTTACTGTGCGTGACCAAAACATTGATTACTTTTATGTACTGCTCACGTTTAGAAAAATCTATTTCTACTTTATGATTATGATACAGGCTGTGGTGCTTCTGAATAGAAGTATGTCGCGTTCTACTGAGAGGTGCATCTAACATGTTGTTCCTCCACTGTGCTTATTTATCAGAGCTTAATTCTTTAATTTGGTTTATGGCAGTTGAAGGGTAATAGGTGATCTGAGAACAAATGTCTAAGTGCAACATCGTCAAGTCTGGATTTGGTACTGAAGCTAATTAAATACTGTACCATGAATATTATGTGTGGTTGTTATATTATGAAGTAAATTTGGGTCAATAATTGGCGACATAATTTCTGCTTAATTTAAAGGTAACCCTGCAGGAGATCCTCAACCCCATTTGCTCAAAAATACATAAACACAACATCATTTTGAAATAATTTATTTATTCTTAAATAGATTAAATTGAAATTTAAACATCTATTAACACAAGGAAAATTTTCTTTATTCCAATCTCCACCACCATCCAAATACGTCCCAAAAAAAGGCCACCAATGAAATCTCAGTCGGTCAGGTTCATCCTGACCAACCTATGGATCCATCATCTACAGGGTCAGCCCAACATCTGTGTCAGAGGAGCGTCACCTGTCCTTGAATTGCATGCAGTAGACTCTTGCACTTGAAGAGTGTTTGTTTTTTCCTCCCAGTCCACAAGTCTGTGTACTCCTCTTTGTCTTGTACGTAAAACGTCACTGCACAATCCTCTCGTCATTTCATTTTGACTTGCAGAGCATCTATGAGTTCTACAATTTCTGCAAAGTAGCCGTTCTCCTCTCCAACAATCATTTCTGACTGGACCATCTCCTGGTACTGGTCCCTGAGAGAGAGCAGTGAGCCCAGCAGAGAGCCGTCTGAGCGGTACTGGTCCGCACACACAGGAGCCATGGCCAACAAAGCCCGCAGAGCCTGAAAGAGAGTTCATTTCATACACTGTTCATTTGTTCAGCCGGTCTGGGTTTTCAAAGGCTAAATCTGTTAACTTGGCATTAAAGCGGCTTATAATTTGTGTTAATTATCAATATATCAAAGTCAGTCCACCTTCTCTCTGTAGTCATGCTCAGTGGACTCCAGTAGCTGTGGGACCAGACTGCACCAGCCCTTTTCCAGCAGCTCCCCCTGCAGGGACACCTTAGAGTACTGACGCACCCGCTCCTGATGGGAGGCATCCAGCGCCGGGTCCAGACCTGCCTGAGAGATCAGTTCCTGGTGGAGCAGGAGAGACAAGCATCAGCATCAACTGGAGAGTCATATTCTGCATCATTAACCAGGGCCAGTAGAACCCTGCCACTCTAACACTAGTTAGTTAGTTAGCTAGCTTTCTTGGTTAGCAAGGTGCATCCATAATTCACGTTAACTGAGATTGATTGGGATACTGGTGAAAAACAGGATTAAAACTAAATTTACTTAAAGGAAAAAATGAACAGTCAACCTCTTTTACTTTCTTAGTGCGATTGAATGCTGAACAAGACTTTTTAGGTGACTAAAATGCCATGGATACACATTGCTATGCCTTTATCTTGATTGACTGGTCTCCATGGTAGCGACTTGCAAATCACAAGGTAGCCACGCCCTAAAGTATACCCTGCTTTATGGTCAGTGGGACCATCAGTTACTAAATGAA